GAAGCAGTCCCTACAAGCAGAAGGTACAACTCCAAGCTGTTCTCTTGTTTTCTCGAGGGCAGCTCACCTCTCCTCATGTTCTGCTGTTAACAGTAAATTCTCTTACTCTGGGCCTTGCTCAGACACTGTGGTCCTTGTGACAGCTTTGTGAGCATCTCCTGGTGCTGGGCTGTGGATTCTGCTTGGATTCATATCTCTTTTCAAGTTAAGAATAGTTAATGTTAATGATGGGTAGTATAGATTTGGATTAAAATTAGCCATTCCATATACAAATAAAAATGGGCAATGTTACAGCATTCTGGGTATTTAAAAAGAGAAGACTGTTTCATTTGAAAATTTATTTTCATTTTTAAATGCATGCTTTTTAAAATAATTTGAAAGAGCTAACCTAAACCCCAAATTTCCACATACAGAAATATTTAAGGATTTACAGTAAAAATTTCTCTTTTTTTGTTTTTGAAATTGGTCAGACTATATTTCCATACCCATAACCCTTTCTTTTGGCTCTTGTGTAGGTATTTAGTTGAGAAATAAAGGTTTGTATGTAATTAGCTCTCACTGCATCAAACACACATATTTACACTGGTTTGTTTGGGTAGATGCAAAAGCTCTTGACCATTTGCCTGAGTGGAGTTTACCTTGAGAGAAAACAAAGGTTTAGATTAAATCAGTGTAATTTCTTATTGATGCTTACTTTAAGGTCTAAATGTATTTTTTGGGCTAACCATAACCTGATCCAAAACCACTTAACTTTGGAGAAATATAATTCTATATCCCAGTATTGTATCCATATAGAATTCCACCAACTTTCTTTTTGTGCTGCTCTACAAGCTCTTCATATTCTATATTCAGGTTTACTGTCCATAGGCAAAGATGAGATACCAGTTTATCTGTGTTTGCCTTTTTTCATCAGTGTTTCTGTGGAATTGTTAATGAGGCAAAAATCACACTGGGGAGTAGAAATAAGTTTTAAAGAATCTTAGCTTAATTTTGCTTTATGGGAAAACCAGATGTCACAAAGCTTCTGCAGAGCAGGAACACAGTTTACCCAGTTTGCATATAAAACCTATTTCTTAACTATGAAATTATCTTCATATGTATCATTCATATGACTCTGAGTGTCTACTTATCTTTAAATAAGTTCTGAAATATCTTGGAACAGAGAAGCTAAATTCACAGTGAATTGTTAGGGATTTTTTTTCAGTGATGGAGTTTAACTATAAATGGAAAATTATTCCTATCATAACTTGCTCTAAACCTAGGAAGGAAGGCAGCAGTGCTGAAAAGTGTCTGAACCTATTGCAGATTATCTGCAAGCTTTCTTTCCCCTGAGATGCTGAAGGCTATTTCTGTTCTTCTTTCCAAAGATAAATACTGTGAAGCACTTCTGGGTTCCTTGCTGTCCTTTTCTTTCTGAGCTGTCTATTCTTACTTGTCATCCAGTGGACAAAAAACATGTCTGGCTTTGCCTACTCATTTTTGGTCATTTCTATGAGGCAAGTGTGTGAATCTCCTCATATCCTCAACTGGAAATGCCAACAAAAAAGGATTGTTCACATTTCTTTATTTTCATAGAAAAATGGCATGGGGAAGATAACATCAAATCAGCTTGCATTCACAAGAAAAAAAATCTAGAAAACCAGGATCAGAACTGATATTAATACTTTTAGAAAAACTTCCCTAAACTCTGGACTTCCACACATGCAGGTGAATGCAGTCCTGGCACAGAGAGCTGGATGTTCCCCTTGCCTGGTGGAGGAGTGACATGAGCTGCTCCCAGCTGCTGCTGAGAGGAGTGACGTCAATGGAGATGATATCCCTGATCTAGAAATGCTCCCACCAGCCACAGAGTCCATTAAGATGTCTTTGTTGAAGCAGGAATCACATTATTAAATCTAGCTGTTCTGAAGCTAGCAAACTCAACTCAAGGCTATCATTGCTGTTTTTCCAAAGACGTTTTGTCACAGACATCTGCCAGCCAGCTGTGTAGACTTTCTGTCTGTGCTAATTTGTAAAGTATTGTTGCTGGCCTTCAGCATTCAGAGCCATCTCCTTTTGGACCCTTGATGGTCAAAAACTCTCTTCTTGGAAGTATTTTCTTCCTCTGGTTGAGTTGGTTACTTTTGTTTGGTTGCATTTGATTTATTAGTTTTGGCATGATCTTATTTTATTGGGCTTGTCTTGATTTTATAAGGCATCTTATAAATACATGAATGCTGACTAGTAGAGCAAGAAACTGACACTTCACTGACATGCAGTGTTGCCCCACTGAAGAAAACATCCTGCAGGATTCTCCCTTGTCCACCAACCCTCTTTCAGTTTTGAAGTTCAGTCTCTTGCAGATGCTCTTATATTTCATTAATTTAATTGCTTTGTCCTCTTCTGGAGCTTCACCTGGAGGATTTGGCTGAAAGGCCAGGAAGAGGGATGCTGGCTGGGCAGGTGGTGGTGGTGCAGGACCTCTGCTTTGCCTGCTAACACTGCCCTCTCCTGGTTCTCCTCCTGTGGCCCGAGAGCTCAGGACCCTTGCAGGTGCCAGATAAGAAAAGGAGAACGATAACATTGTCTGTTTCTCCTGTTGCCTGCTCTCTCCCAGCTCCGTGGCCTCCCACCCTTCTGGTGGATGGCACCGTGCAATCTTTATGCTGGCCCAAGAAGGCACAAGGCAGCCGTGTCTCTGAGCCCTCCCAGGAAAGGGCCAGTGCTGGGGTGCTTTGCAGGCTGCTCTACCTGGGGCAGCCTGCATTGCTGGGATCTCACCAGGCTCACAGCCTCAGACTCAGAGGCAGCCCCTGAATCTCAGTCCCCTGGCTTTTCATATCCAGCACCACTCCTGTCTCAATCCACAGCCCGCTGTTCCTGAGCCATTATGGGTTACTGCTGAGCCCCCCCTTCTCCCCCAGAGCCCTACCCAAGCCCAGAGTGCTCCCCTCCCTCTCTTTTCCCCACTTCCCAGCTCATGTCACTCCACAGAGTGGGATCAGGTTGCCTTTGCATTGTGATTCTTGGCAGGAGCCCCTCTCGGATTCCTATGGCTGTTCTGTGAGTACAGCAGCCAGTAGGAACAAAGCACATAAGAGCACATTAAACTAACATTCAGCACGCAAAGCCCCAGTAATTTACTATATGCTACCCTGCCTAGTAAAGGGAACACTGTAGCACACTTGCCCTTTTAATTTCCTTTCTCACACTTTTGTCTACAGAAGCCTGCACCATAACTTCCTTAAAAAGCATTTTTATTTACTCCATAGTCGTTCTTAGGCTGTTTGTTTTTAAGCAGTGTTTCTTGCAGGAACAATCTGCTGTGCTTTGCTTGATACCATCACTAAACAGAGACATACTGTTGTATCTGATTAGAATTTTAATTGTAGAAATCTAACCTTTGCCACTGCATTGTGCTCTTACAGGGTAAAATGATCCCTGCTGTGCTGCTGCCTAATAGTTCTCTCTTTTTAAAACCTGCGTTGAGCAGTGTTACAGAAGTGCAAAACACAGATCAAGAAATTTGTACACTGATGAGCAGTCATCCCTTCAGGCATGAAAAATGCCAGTTTAACATTCTTTCCATGTCATGTATTAACATAGTAGCTTTCCAATAAAAATACTAATCAGTTAGGAATAAGAAATGTTACAGAACTGACAGATAATACTAATTTTTTTAAAGCCACACAAAATTTAAAAGATGGTTCAAATAAGATAAGATGGTTGTTCACAGTAACTCGAAGTGACAAAGAACTTTGGCTTCAGAAGCTGGAAATAAGCTTCAGAATCCATCTTAAGTGTATGTACCTGCTACATATATGCTTGTCTTACATTCATAGGGAATATACTTAATTAGAAGAAAATCTTATCACTAAATATATGAGGTTTTTTATATATAGTATAGGGCAGAGCTGTCTTCTAGAAAGCTTATCCAGTCTATCTATCTATCTATCTATCTATCTATCTATCTATCTATCTATCTATCTATCATTGACCTAGCAAAGGATGCTGCTTCTCCTTGTTCTCTGAGGTCCTTAGACCACTGTGAGTACAGAAATCCCTAAAATTCTTGCACAAATTACAGCCTTCCTTGGGATTTTGCAAGTTCACAGGCCAGCATGGACTTTATCAATTGCTGAGCAGCTAAACAGGTTACTGAAGGCAGATGTTTCCTGCTCTTTATTAAGACTCTGTGGGCCCCTAAATCTGGCAATGGCATTAGGCTCAAAGCTAAAAGCTGTGTTTGCATATGTTGTGTGACATGGTTTGGGACACCACTTGTTGGAGAAACTGTTTATAAACTGTAGACAGAGTGAATAATATAAAGTTTGAAATTCTGTCCCCCGTTCTGAGCCAATTATAGTGATCTGAAGAACGAATGACCCAACAGGAAATGCAGAGTTAGTAAACAGAAATTGTGTATGTTCCACTGCAACTGTGTGTAGTCATCTTCTGACTGAGTGAGCAAAGAGGGTTTCTGAAAATTAGTAATTCCTCGGGAAAAACAGAATTCTGGTTAACTCTGGGTGGATTATTTATAATTGTATGATATTCCTATTGATTTCGTATCAGGAATAATTCTCAAGTAATGACCTATTACTTGAAACATCCAACTGTTCATGAATAAAAGTCAAACTTGTCAAAGCAATACACTAACAAGCTGCTGTATTGCTCCTGGAATATGGTTGCCTTCAGAAAAACATTCTACAGAGGACATTTTTCTTAGATTTATCATAGAACAATGTATTCAGGAGTAGTTAAAATCATGTGGACATGGCCTTTACTGGGAAGGTCACAAACCTGGTCCTGTAGAATGAAGAAAAAAGAGGATGGAGGGCATTTGGTTCCAGGTGAGGGAGTCACCAAGGGAAGACTGGGGTGCTGGAAGTGCCCAGCACGTGTCACCTCTGTCAGCTCCCTTCCTAAAGTGGTGCTGTAGCCGAGGCTGCTGGGCAGGGCTGTCACACAGTGGGCACATTTCAGAGCAGGGGCTGAGCTGTCTCTGTGTGTTCTTGCAGCTGCACGACGAGCTGGAGAAGGGCGAGAGGGAGAGCGTGGAGCTGCAGGAGTTCGCCAACGCCATCCTGCAGCAGATCGCGGATCACTGCCCCGACATCCTGGAGCAGGTCGTCAACGCCCTGGAGGAGTCCTCCTGACCTCGGCCACCCGTCCACAGAGCAGCACACCAGTGGCCAAGCCCAGTCAGTCCACGGAGCCATGGGAGTGGAGAGCAATGTGAAAGACAGAACGTGGAATAGAAACTTCCGGTGCACCTTCGACAAAGAAAACAAAGGCAAAAAAAAGAAAAAAACCCTTCTAAAAACTACGTGCTCTCTAGGTTCTTCCAGTCTGTGATTAATCAGCAGTTTTTGTATTCATCTTCTCACTGCCTTTCTACTTTAGAATCCAATTCCCCGTTGACTTTGTTGGTGGTGACTTATGGATACAGCTAAGCAGAGCTCTTCCAAGTCTACTGAGCAAAGAAGAGGGGATCCACTGAACACAAGCAGCTCTAGTTCTCCATGAGGTTGCAGAAGAGTAGCCCTCGCCTTCCATTAATATATTGCTTTCTCCTTCTTATCTTCTTTCCTTCTTCCTGTTTTTATTTTCATGAAAGTTGGACGCCTGAATTTCATAGTGCTAAAACCAAACCTGAGTGTGCTCTGATTATGGCTCATGGCTGGCCAGCATCAGCTAGCTCAGGTCTTGCTGCCTGTCTCAATGCTTCTTATTTTCTTAAATAACAGAGTGAGGAAAGGAAAGTTTCCCTCCTTGCTCCTGTTAGTCATTTCATCTAGCAGCTGAGAAAAAAGGTAGGCATACTGGTACTTTCTGTTTACTTAACTTAGGCTTTTATTGTTCACTGGACTGACTCTGAAGTGCTAGGTGGGACATTTTTTGAGGTAACTGTTTTCATCTGTGGATTTTTGGGGGGTCTTAGATGAAGTTTCTCATCATAGGTCTGTGTCTCCTAAGTTCTTACATTATAGAGAGCTCTCTTCCTTCAAGCAGGTGTGGTCAACAGGTCAGTTCCCAGCTTTAACTTGTAGAGTTTGTTCAGTTTTTCAGGCCATAACTTTGTGAGCACTAGCTGTCATCAGAATAGTCTTAGGCGTTCTGTAAATGAGAAATTTGCATAATTTAGCTTAAAAGTATAATTTAAAAGCTAAGTTAGGTAAATCAGTAGCATAGTTCGTACTATAATTATAATTTAATTTATTTTGGTTTAGCTTACATTGACGTGGAATGAGTTTTGAGTTCAGAGCAATAACCCTTGTGAAGAGGAGCATCTCTGCTGGAGTTGGCACCCAGCTGAGTAGATAGGTATAAAATCACAGCTTTACTTAAACCAGTGCAATTCTTCTGTGTATATGAGAGGCCTTAGTGTTATTCCCATCCACCTTCAATACTCATTACAGCTCCTGCTGATAGGAAATACAACCTGAAATCCCAGGTCAGTTTGTCATTGTGGTAGCAAGTCAGAAATCCTATTTTATGAGTAGGACTTGGGTGTTCATTCTTGGACTATGCATTAATGGGGAGACACATTTTTTCCTGGCTGCCAGTGGTTATATGTGTCTGGGGGCATCTGCAGGACAGAACCTTGTAGCACGTCCCCATGTGCTCCTTAGAGGAGCTGCTCCCTTTGGCTGGCTCATATTACTTCAGAAAGCAAGGGGAAGGCAAAAGGAGACCAAATAGCAACACAGCAGTGGAAGAAATCTTGGTTTTCTAGTCACTAGCTAATTATGAATCCTCTCAGTAAACCTCCCATCCAGAGCCTGCAGTTTAATTCCATATGGCTTACTACATTTTGAGCTTAATCACTAAGCTGTTACACTAAGGAAAATGTTCCAGGCCCTTTCAAAAAAACTGCACTTTTTACATCTCTCAGATGCACAGCACAGCTCACTCTCTCGGTCTTTCACACCTTGTTTTTATCTTTAGAAGTGATTAATTGCTTCCAACAAGAAAGGAGATCAGCAAAAGTTTGAGTAAGGGAAGATGTACCCTGTAGCTTTTTCCAAACAAGCACTGAAAATTGGGCAAAACTGTAGCCTCATGTACCTTTAGACTCTACTGAAAACTCACTGATTTGAAATAAATCCCATCCCCATTGATTCCACTGTAATAATTCAGCAGAAGGTGCTGCATTACAGCCAGGGTGTCTAGGAAGAAGTAAGTCTCAAAAGAAGAGGCGAATCACTCCTTTTCCAGCTTTGGAATTACCAGTGCTTTGCGAATCAGGAGAACTAGCTTTAAGCAATTCCAAGTAATAGCAGCCTGTGTCTGAAGCTTTTTTTGTGTGTCATGTGTGAGGAGAGTAATGGGAACCTGAATGTGTGGAAGGGGGGAATGCCGGAAGGCCAGCAGACAGTGACTGTACACACTGCTGGGCCGTGCCTCATCCCAGAACCACCCCTTTGCTCCCATTATTTGAGTCAGCACGTTTCGATAGGAGCTGTTGTTTTGAAATCTTTCCCCTTGCTTTTTCTTCATCACCCCTAATTACTCACTCAAGGAATTTAATGCCGCCTGTAAAAGCATCAGAGCCATCAGCCCAGCATCATCGGCCACCACTGCCACCCCTCCTGCCTCTCTCATTAACTTATATGGTCAAATCTCCAGCTGCCCTGGTTCCCTGCTGTAAAACAATCCTTCCTCTGTGAGAAGCTGTGGAATTTCCCTTATCGATGGTTCAAATGACTCCTGCTTGTAAACCTCTTACTGAGATGTTCCTTGATAGCGTTTCTGCTGGAGGCAGGGGCAGGGGGAGGGGATGGGAGCCAGGGGCCATCACTTCAGGCTGTTATTTCAGTTCCCTGACTTTACACATCACAGGGAAGTGCTGCTGCTTCTTCAGCATCTCTAACTCGGCTTGTGGCTGCACTTCTGTAGTTGAAAGTGCCCCAGCCAAAGGCCTGGTGCTGTCCTGGCAGCGTGTGCAGGATCTGTGCATTGACAGCCAGGTGAAGCTCACTGTTTACACGTCTCCCCGTCTCTTCCCAGGGAGGATTTGTCAAGCCTGGCTGGTTTTCACGCTGGCCATTTGGTCCTTTATCTGCCAGCCACACACCTGCTGTTCCTTCCATCTGAATTGTTGGGCCCTGGCGATTTTTCTCGTTAACCACTGTTATCTCCTAGGTCTTGTAGGCTTCCCATCTTAAAGATTGATCTTAGACCTCTGTAAAGTGCTTTCAGGGAGGGAGCAGATCTCATTTAGGAACAGTCTTGATCCAACTTGATCTCCAGTAACTGTTTCAGGTAATCTCTCTGATCCTGTGTCGACAGAGATCCTGTGGTGAATAGCTTGAGGAACTTTGGGGTTTGGGAGGTGCTTCTGGCCACGATTTAATGCTGAACGTGACCACTGAAAGCTTTTTGTTTTCACTCGTATGGAGTACCACACCATTGGCCTTAAGGCAACAAAGGGATTTTATTCTCATAACCCATCTTGGAATTGCATCTGAGGCACATGCCAAGTGTGGCATACCCTGCAGAGCTCATCCAGTTGCCTAACCCACCGCTGCTCTTTTAAATCTGACTCCCAAGTGTCAGCAGCCAGGCAGATGCAGACAGTTTCCTACCCCAGTGGTCTTGCAGTGCAGCAGCTCTAGGAAATCAGGGCCCCTTCCCAGAGACCCTGGGGAAATTTGCTTTTTCTTCTCCTGTTGAATGAAGTTCCATTTGCTACAAGAGCTGTGAAAGTTTTAACCGCTTTAATATTACTTTTTTTTCTTCCGAGCTGTCATTTGTAGAGAAGCTGAGGGATGTAAGGACTCAAGGAGCTTTTGTAGAAAATTAAGTAGGTGATTTTGGCAGGGTTTGGGCTAAAAAATAACTGAAGCCTGAAGCCCATGTACACTGTAAAAGCTGACACTGCAACTACACTTGTTCATTGATATCCACAAGTCCAAGTCCATATTTTCCTCTGAATCCAACCTCATGTAAAACACTAAAAGGACATAACACTAGAATTGCAGGGTGAGAACATGAGCACTGTTTGCCATTGGAAGAAGAATTATCTGGCATGCTCCCAGACGAAGCTCTAAGCTTCTCTAAGTATCCTCTCTCGTTTTGACTGCCTTTAACCAGCTTTGACTCCAGAAAATGCCAAACCCTCTTTGGAGTATCCAGTTTTTGCCAAGTCCTGGGGACAGAAGGTGACGGTCCGACGTGACGGCGGAACCGCGTGTGCCGTTTCTCCTTGCACGGCTGGAATATCCCTTCTCTAGAAAACCTCCTGGTACTTCAGGGCTCTGAAATTTGCACAAGGGGGCATAAATGTCAAAAATCTTGTAGAGATAACCCTGGTTTTTGAATCAAAGGGGCATCTCTTTTCATTTGCCCTGTAATTCCCACCCGTTCTGCTGCTAGTGCTCAATTTGTTGGGAAATTTTTACATCTGATGAGGCTTGACAGGGTTGAGTCCCCACTCCTGTACTAATTGCCAATCGCTGCCACTGCAGGGGTCTTTACAAAGGATGTAGAGTCGTGCACTGATACCATTTTAAAGCAAAAATGTCACTGCATACGTAACGTGTGTATCCCTCAACAACTCCAGTGAAAACTAAAGGGAAAGAGTACAATCGAGGCATCTGATCCTGAAAGGAAACCTCTCCTCAGCTCAACGCCTGCACTGGAAGAGGGACCTGGAGAGGCTGTGGATAACCAACACTGCCCCAGCGGGGTGGGAGGGCTGGGCACGGGGCATCAGGGGCATCGTGCCTGGCAAGGCCAACTCTGCTGACCCCTCTCATCTGCGTGGTGAGGAAGAGGAGTGTCAGGGGTTTTTTAAAAACAAAGTTATGTTTTTAATTGTTTGTTTTTTCCACATAAATGGAAGGAACCTTACGCAACAGCAGATCCTTCTGAACAAAATGGCTGTGTCCGCTGACTATTTTTAAAACTTAAAAAGAGAAAAACTGTTTCAAAACTTTTTAGTGTCAAAAGCATAAACTCAGAAATCCTGACTTTTTCCAGTGTGTGTGGTGAGTGCTGTAACCCTGTCATCAGTATCTCCCCTGACTTTTTCAGGGGTGTTTTTTTCCTGTTTTGTTTTCTGCTTGTCGATATTGTCTGTGTGGTCCTAAGGCTGGGGCAGTTACCAACAATGTGTGTCTGTTGTCGGATTGAAAAAAAAAAGATAGTAGTAGAACCGAAAAAGATGTGTTTTAAAAATATATAAAAACAAATTTCATTAAAAGGAATTCAAGTAAAGAAGCAACAAAGCCGTGACTCCTCCTCTCGGGATTGTACAGAAAAGAATTTGTGGGCTTATAATTATAACCAGTTGCCTTTCACAGGCTTTTGAGGTCCAAGGCAGCTTGGCCTCTTAGGAAATGTTACAAACCCTGTATAAATTCCTGCTTTCCCAGGTTTATACTGTACACGTGTAAGACAGAAATGGGCAGAATGAAACAGTATTTTGGAAGTCAATCTTTTCTGGTAGCAGTTATCAACAGCAGGTGTCCCCTAAGATGAGAACCACTGATGTGAATGGGCCCAATACTTTGGCCCAATTTTCTGTTTTCTCCATCCCACCCCTTGATGCCAGGGACACAAGCAAGTGCAGATCAGCTAGTGCAGGTAGTTGTGTGTAGCTTCATTATCAAAGTTGTATTTCCTTGCCTCTGGTGTTGGTCACGTACCCAAGCATGTTATGAGGCAGGAAAGGACCAGCAGCCACTTTCTGCTCTGGTTGCATCAAAGACTTGAATTGCTTGAAAGGAGCAACAGGAGGCTAAACTGGCATGTAAGGTTAACAAAAAGAACCCTGACAAATCGCTTTACCTATGAATATAGCTAAAGAATTGCATAAAGTGAATGTATTTTTATTATCAGACTTAACCATATGCTGTTTGTCCCCATTTTGCAAGCTTAGTTCAGATCTTGAAAATCAAGTCAATGTGGTTTGCTTTTAAGTAGAGATTCCCATTAGGCTCTTGGTGCTTTGGTAGGGCTTTTTGTTCAAAACATTGGTTTCTTTCACTTAGAAACTCGCAAAAAATTGATCTATTGGTCACATATACCATTATTTGTAACAAAATGTGGTTATCTTAAAAAACAAATTCGAAGTCAAATTTTAAAAGTAGACACTGTTCCTTTTATCTGCCCCATCTTCCCAGCTCTCTGTGGACAAGGCCAAGTCCTCCCTTGCTCCCTGCCCAGGGGTGGCCACATTTGGTCCCTCATTAACACTCATTACAGTATAACTGGGGATGCTTTAGTGTAAGATGCCTTTATTTGTTCAGATGCTGGAGGAGGATGAATCCAATGGGACCACAAACAGGGGAATAACTTCTGTGCTAGCCCAACATGCTGCTCCAAGCCCACTAAAACAGTATATTGCCGTTTCCTTCCAAGGCAGTGAATGAGGAGAGCTGCACACCGAGTTCACAAATCATCTGTGGAATTGAATTCTCTGGGATCCTCCATCCGCTCCACAGGCACAGATCCCTCATTTGCTTTGGAAGAGACGTGTTGCACTTTAGTGAAGGGGGAGGCAGGCTTTAGGGATGGGATCTAGTGTACTTGAATTCCTTTTGGAAATGACAGCAGCGGGAGACATTGGTGTCCGTGATGCAAGTGCACACGCTGCCTTCAACTTGTATGTGTTTTATTGCTGGAGTCATGTTACTGACAGGATAATGAAATTGCAAAGAAAATGTGTTATATTCAACTTTGCCTTGATAATATAAACACTTTGTTCATTTTTTTTTTCTTCTTTTTTTATTCACAGACTAAGTTCATCAGGAAATTATAAAATTATTTAAAAATTCTGTGCCGTGTCTTTATTTCAGTGT